CCACCATGGGAGGCCCCCCCAGATTCTTAAAGCTGTAACCAGGTCCATGAGGGCTTCCTGGAAGGGCCCTGACACTCATTTTACTCTTCTCATTCAATATTCATATGACATATTCACCAGTTAATTATTCTAAACTTTTGCTTTAACATTATTTTATTTTTTTAATTGTACTAGCATATATATATGTATATATACACACATATATAGGTACATATATATAAACTTACTATCTTTATTATTTGTACAATTCAGTGGCATTAAATATATTCACAAAATATTTAATCTTTACCACTATTTGCAGACCTTTTTCATTATTTCAGACAGAAATTCTGTACACATTAATTAATAACTTTGTTTCCCCATTTCTCCTGTCTCTAATAACCTCTATTTCACTTTCTGTGAATTTGTCTATTTTAGGTTTTTCATTCAAATGAATTTATAGTTTAGCTTTATAGTTGAGCTTTTATATTTGGCTTAACTAAGTCACCCGGTCAGTCATCTGTTGATGGACACAGGTGGGCCAGCCCACCTGTCTGCAGGGTAATCACCTTTTCCATTGTTTTAACCACCACCACCCTCCCTGTCTGTGTCAGGAAGGCGCCAGGGCAGCCCTGGCTAGCCACAGAGCTAGCAAACAGCAGGTGTTCATTAGACCTTGTAGACTGTAGATGTGGACATAAGAACTTCAACCTTCAATGCCCTTTCGTTCAGACTTTGGGAAGTACCCCTGTAGTTTGTCCATAGGATCGAGTATTTTTTGAAAACTTGCAATTTAGTTTAATTGCTTTCAATTAGAACTCTATCCTTTTCTACTCAGACTCCCCTTCACCCCACTTGCCCTCATGTGGGAGAAGTTATGACATTCTGGGGGTCCACCCAAGAGGAAAGTAGGTTTGGGGTGGTCCCAGTCCAGGTTCCTTGGGAAGCAGACTCGAAGAGGGAGCTCAAGATGTTTACCAGGGTGTCCTTTAAGATCAGAGGTCACCTTAAAGGAGGGAGGGAAGTACAGGGTTGAGCTGAGGGTGAAACTAGCTGTGATGGGTGTCTCTTCAGCTGAGGCAGACCCATCTGCCTCTGCTGTCTTTGTGGCTGGCAGCAGCAGGCCTTCCTTGAAGGGGGCGTCCAGGTAGGACATCTCTGAATCTACTACAGGATCATACTTGGCTTGGGCTCAGAGGGACATGTTTCTGTGATTTGCTCCACTGCTATGTATGGGTAGCTTATTGTTCCTCTCCTGGTGTGCCTCCAGGAAACTCCTGCCGAGTCAGAGCTCCCAGGGCCCCAAACAGTAGGCCTGCTCAGAAGTGAAAGGTCCTATTGCATCAAGAACCTGTCCCACAAGTGCCCAGCATTAGAAAAATTGTGAGCCATGGAAGGAAAACAAGGTTTGAAATATGTAAAGCCAGAAGCTCATCATGGAAAAGTTTCCCAAATCACATAGCTCCTTTATAAAAGAAAGTTGATAACAGGTTCCCCAATTTGAAAATATTCCAAACCACTCAGTGATACCACTGAAAACAAGTTAGGAGAGTTTTCTGAACTATCAATGCTCAAAACACAATTTCAATCAACTGTATTATAAAACTGAATTATCTTTCTATTCTCTGTACAGAAAGTATTTCCTCTCAAATCACAAAATCCTTATCCTGTGTAGAAATAATCAGAATGAGCAACCAGAAAAATATAGGGGCAAAAGTATTATAGAAATGTGTCAAAGTCATCACAAATGTTACTTTATGAATTTTGTGCTGTAGCACTTGTGAACTTTTTAATTTGTCATTTGTCATGATTTCCCTTCTCTTTAAAATTCACTTCCATTTCTATTTTTAATTCATAATGTTGTACCCTTTTTCTACAAAAGACCCTAAAAATGCATAGGCCTCAGTACCCACTCAACCTGGATCGCCTGTGGTAGGAGGGAGAAAGGGAGTGAGGGCCCCTTTTGGGAGCATTCAGTCCTCATTTCACTTCCAGCGAAAAGCTAGACACTAGAGCACGTGTGAGACCCCAAAAAGTCAAAAGAAGGTGAGGTCATTATCTGTCCTCCACCCTCAGTTCAGGCAGCCCCAACCCACAGCCCTAGCCAACTCAGCCACATCGTCACCTCCTCTGGGAAGCCCTCCCTGGGTCATCCAACTCTGCTCACTGGTCAAGCCTTTCACCACACTGGCCCCGAGGCGCTATATTTGTGACTGAGTTCCTTAGGAAGGAGTGGTCAATTGGTGGGGGCAATGGAGATGTGAGAGCCAGCTTGAGGCCCACCTGCCTGCCTACCCATCGCGGGCACCAAGGCTTCAATAACCATGATGGTTTTAAAGCAGAAAGAAAACATAGGGTCCAGGCAGTGCTGGAGAGACACACAGGCCTGAAATTGGCCCTGAGCCTGAGGCCATCCCCACCCCAGCTGGCCACCAGGCAAAGAGAGGCATATATTGGGTTACCCGTTCTGGGCAGGAGTCCCCTTTATTTGGGTTTGATGCTGGGTGGCTAGGCGCTGCAGGTGGCTCTCGATATGGACCAGGAGGGAATCCAACATGTGCAGGACCCCCAGGAGTCGGGCACGTTCTGAGATCGGGGCCCGCCGTTTCCAGGGTGCACAGGGGTCAGTGGTCGCCTGTGGATGCTGAGGATAGGACCAAGAGGCAGGAGTAAGAGAAGAGGATGGAGGTGTGGAGACAGTCAATAATGAAACTAGAGAAGCAGATGAGAAGGGAGGTTTAGGTTGGTGGAGGATCTCTGAGGACGTAAGTGGTCATGGGGCTCTGGATGAGGAATAGGTTACTAAAGGGGGTAGATGGGGCAAGGGTACTGGCCATAGGAAATGGCCAGGGGCTACCTGGTATGGCAGGGGCTACCTGGTATGGGGTATGAGTGGTGAAGGGGTGGGCAGCAGGAGGCCCACAGGGCAGGGGTGGGAGGATGGACAGACTGATGGGGGAGGGTCAGGTGGAGGATGAGTTCACTGGTGATGACTGACAACAGAGACTGTGGGGGGACAGAGCAGTGCTGTGCTCACCTCACCCTTAGTGGCTTGCATACGCCCACGCCGCCGCCGCTGCAGCACTGCCCGGCTGATGAGCAGCATCATGGTGGTGGTGAGTGTGACCCCAGCCACTGGGTAGATGTGCTTCCCCCCTAGGCCCATCCAGTGGGTAGGACATCCCAGGCTGACCCTGCAACCATCCAGGCTATTTGGCTGACACCCCCAGGGCTGCAAGTCCAGCCCCACCTGGTACCACAGGGGCCGTGACCAGCCATGGGTAGGGACAGCCATCCCCAGCAGGAGCAGCAATGGCAGGAAGGACGGTGCTTGCGGCATGGCTACGGCAAGTGCCAGCTGGACCGGAACCTGGGCGCTTGGCAACAGGCAAACGCCCCTCCCCCAGGGCCAGGTCAGCTCTGAGGCAGCAGGTTCCAGCTCTGCTCATGACCTTTCATGAGGGCTAGCCTGACCAGAGAACATGGAGTGAGCTGGGTTTCTAGGGTCAGGAAAGATGGCAGCCTTGGGGTCTGGATCATCCTCCTAACCATCCCCCCTCCCTCCTCGTTATCTAACAATCCCTAAAATTCTAACACACACACGCACACACACACACGCACGCACGCACGTACCGTGGGACTGTGTCCTCACACTGGCAATGGCCGCACCACTGCAGGCTGACCAAGCAGAGTGCAGAGCTGCTCACTGGCCTCCTACACCAGTCTCACCCCCACATTCCACATAGCAGCAGAGTGAGTCATCAAAATCGGGACCCTCAAACCCAACCTGAAGACTCACCCTGGCCTGTGAGGTTCTGAGTTTTTGTCATCCCTCCTACACCCGCAGGCCGCCATGGTGTGGACTCCACTCCTACAATAAAGATGCCTTCCATGGCTGGAGTTTCAGATTTGTCACCTGCACCTGCGCCTTCCTGCCATCTTGGGATTACAGTCCACCCACCTCCCCTTCTGTGACCCTGTTTCTTTCTCTAAAGCATTTCTATCTAATTTCTTGGTCGAGGTCTCCTTTCACTCTAGCAGATAAGCTTGATTTAGTCAATATTTACCAAGCACCACCACAAGCCAGACACCGCTCCTGGTACCAGAACATGAAGTGACTGAGTAGACAAAAGCCCTAACTTCCTGGGCTGAGCTTCTGGGGGGTGAAGGGGAGCTGATGATTTACAAGCACAGTGTGGGGCGCGGACAGTGGCCATGACAAAAACAGAGCTGGCGCCACTCTGTCCCCTTGCTCTGCACAGCCTGGTCAGTACATGCCTGGTGAGCAGTGAAGCTCACCAGTTTTGAGCCGGTGACATGGACCCAGCATTTTCGCTCACTCTGTGGCATGTGCTCATTTTATACTCACTGACTAACCCATGAGGTGGGTACAATTACCACTGTGCTCTACTGGTGAGAACCAAGCTGAGGTTCCAAAAGATTCTAGCCAACCCCCACCCCAGTTACTCAGAGCATCAGTGGGCTGGAGGGGATCACTGCTGCCCAGATGCTGGCATTTTATGGCAGAAAACACCATGTGCTTGGCCACCAGTGAACTACAAAGTCCAAGTGATCTAATTACACAGACAGACATTTTCCCAAGTAAATCAATCAGGCACATTCCAAATCTAAACACAGCCCAGCTTTACCTGTGAACACCTGTGCTAACTCAATATTGAATCTAAACCCTCCAGGAGCTGCCCAGGGGCACCTGCCCTGCCCTGTACCCTATGGGGATCATTCTTGAGAAGCCACTCAGATTCTACCTGCTATACAGTTGAGGACAGAGATACCAGGGGCTGTGTGACTTGGAGAAACTTGAACCTAGATGCCCATGCTCTGAACCTGGTGCCCCGCCTCTCCCCCCTGTACTGTGCTCTTTCTGCCTGACTTTGCCCTCCCCAACTTCCTCCCAACTTCTGACTCCAGTCCCCATTACGCATAAATAAGGGTCAGGAGCCAGGGTTGTAGACCACCCCAGCCCTACTCCCAGTAGGGCCCCCATCAAGCCATAGCAGAGCCTGGTGTTGACAAACAAATCTTTATTCCTGAGGCTGAAAACAGGTGTCCTTCCCCAACCTGGTCAGTGCTGGGCTGACTCCACTACCCCAACACGGCTAGAGCACTGAACTTGGAGTCCCAGGACCTCCATCCCTGAGGGGGTGTGTGTGTGTGTGTGTGTGTGTGTGTGTGTGTGTGTGAGTGTGTGTGTGTGTGTAGGGGACTCCTGAGTGGCATATGGAGGCAGCCCAAGGGTGGGAGGTTCTCAATGATGATCCCTTTCAACCTTCAGAGGCACGCAGTCTCAGGCACAGTGGCAGCATGGTCAGAGTTTGGTAGCCTGAGTGAGCAGAGGAGGAGAGGCTCTAGTCAGTTTCCAAATGGCACATAGACACCCTGACCCCCAGCAGTTTCACCTAAAGGTAGAGGTACAGGGCCTTCTTGGTGGCACCAGGGGTTAAATCGCTGCACTATGAAGCTATTGGCAGTCACTGCAGCACGAGTTTGATCCCCAGCCAGGGAGCTACCCACACGGCGCAGCAGACCTCGCCTGTCTGGCCTACTGCTCCCCTCAGCAGTGTATTTCAGTCAATCTGCCTGTTCTGTTCCCCACTCTGTCTCGGGTGAATCCTCTCCCCGTCCCCCGCCCCCACACCTCTGGCCTGTACCCCAGTTCTTGTATGCATAAATAATAAATAAATCTTTAAAAATAATAATTAAAGAAAATAAAGATAGAGGTACAAAACAATGGGGCCACTGGGGGCAGAGCCATCCAGGAAGGGTAGACCTCCAGGAGTTAGGGTCAGGATGGGCCAATCAATAAAGAGCTCAGAGGGGCAGAGGGCAGCTCACCAAAGCATGGTCCATGGAGCTGGACCTCGGGTGTTGGAGGGCAAAGACGACAGCGTCATGGACAGAGGCAAAGAGATGTTGCTTAGTGATGGAGGCATCGAAGAAGTGCCCAGCCTCAAGCTGGGAAACCACAGGACCTGTTGGCAAGTAGGTCTCCCTTAATTTGCAGAACCACCAGGGACCCCAAACCTCAGCCACCAGCAGAATGCCCTGACCTGTGTCGCTCTTAACCTCCACCCCTAAGGCTGCAGCCAAAACCCCCTAGTCACACTTGACCCTTGACCCCGGCCTCCCAGGACACCTCTTCACCAGAGAAAGACCTCTTCGTTGTGCTGCCTAGCAGACTCCTTGGCAGGAAGAGCCTCACCCTCTTCCCGGACCCCTCCTGCTGTCCCCACCCCAGATACCGTTGCAGGCCGCCATGTACACCTCCACTTCTATCTCCCGGAAGTCGTGGAAAATCTGCAGCAGAAAAGGGGGCCTGACTCAAAGGAAGGCTCAGAGGCTCCAAGGGGGAGCTCAGGTAGGCTAGAAGTAGTTTAGAGGGGGAGCGCAAAGGTTGTGGGGGACTAGGACTCAGGGTCAGGACAGAGGCATGAGAGGCCTCGTTCTGGCCTCTTCTTAGGGGTACTCCAGTCCCTTACATTCTTTAGGCTCTTGAGGCACACAGTGTCCACGAAGGAGAGAGTGCTCATGTCCAGGATGAGGCTGTGAAAATCTGGCTGAGTCAGACCCAGGGCCTTCAGTGTGGACTTATCTGGGGCCTTGGCATCTTCTTGATCAAGGGCTGCTGTTTTAGTATCCTCTAGCTCATTCCCCACACTTAGATCCTAGGGAACCAGACACAGTGCAAAGGCATGAAGGCAGGGCACAATCACAGACATACAGGACATAAAGGTCAGGCATGGGAACATGCATGTAAACACCCATATGTATGGGGCCGGGGACAGATGAAGGCACAGCACAGGGAGCCTCCTGCACACATGGGACATGCAGGGAGGATACGCAGACTCAGGAGCACACAGACACATAAGCTGCTCTGTGACCTCCTGGGAGCCATGCTTCTTCAGCCTGGGTGGAGTGGGCAGGGGCCCAGGCGCAGCCAGAAGACACATGCACAAATGCGCCCACACATACATCTTGGCACCCAGCCTGCGTCTCTTGACCCCTTTAATCCCATTTCCCCCCATACAGCTAATCCCTCCCCTCTATCTGAGCACACACTGAGGGCTGTGATAGAATCTACACATTCAAGGTCTTCATCTAGGCCTCAGACGAAATGAGAGCCACAGCAGAATTCTATGGCATTTCACTAGAGATCTCCCCACAGATCATCTGAACCATCACCCCATTCCTGTTGCCACTGGGACAACAACTTTGAACCCACAACTGGCAGACCCATGGTTTTCCTCATGGGACACGTGTGGGCACCAACATCTCTGCAGCTCATGGCTGGTTTCTCTCCCACCTCCAGCCTCACCTTGACATTGGAGTCCTCCACACTGTTGCTCTCAATGTCTCTGTCCCTGGTGTTGACATTGGTAGAAACGGAAGTGCCCGTTGAGGAAGCAGCCTAGGCCGGAAAGAGGGGGAACAGGAAGAGCTGTCCCAGCTGTCACATGACAGCCACGCCAACAGGCCTGGTGTCATCCCCCTCCCAGAGCTCTGCGCAGGAATCAAAGCTTGGGATCCAGGGCATCGAGGCTGAAGGTTATAGGGGTTTGACCAGTTCTAGGAAGAGCATAAAGGGAAGGGGGCTGTGAAGGTTCACACTGTCACTGGCTCAGGAGGTGGGAGAAAAACAGCACCGCCTAGCAGAGAGCCCGGACATGCTGGGGAACAAAGCAGGGCTGCGGCAGGCATCCAGGAGAAAGGCAGATGGATGAAGGAGGGAGCCCGTCGGGCTGGGAGGAAGGCCGAGTGGGGTCAGTAGGACAGGGGCAGGCGACTCTCGGGCAAAGGAGCCCCTACCTGTTTCTGGACTTTCTTCTTCTGTCGTTTCAGTTTTAGCTCCTGCTTCTTGAGCAGCTTCTTCTTCCGGGAGATGAGGTGGTCAACGTCCACACCGCACTGGAGCAAAAGTCAAGAAGGGGATGTGGACACTGGGTAGGTGAGGGCCCCTCTGACACTCACCGTGAGAACACCATGCCTCACCCTCTGCTTCAGGGCATCACTGTAGAGCTCAGCATTGGCAAAGTACAAGGTGGCTGAGGAGCGGAAGATCTTCACTCCCGGGACCTCCTTGGCCTGGGGATAGGACAGGATTAGGGCTGGCTGAGCTCTCCTCTCTTCTGGCTACATCCTGGCTGTTCTCTCTCTTTCCTGCCTCCTGTGTACCCCAGTGCCTGTCACTGCCTGGCCCTCTGCTCCCAGACAGCAGTCCCAGCCCATGGTCCTCCCAACAGCTGGGCCACAGACCTGGCAGTGTCATCCCAACTTGTCCTGCAACCTCACCCCTGCCTGGGGCTCCATCAGGCCTGTCAGGGCTTCTTCTAGGGACATGGAACTCTTCCTTCCCCATCTCTCCTGCCCCTCTGCCACCTCCCACGCCAGGGTTTACAGGCTCTTAGGCCTCTTCTTGGGTCTCCAGCCCCTGCCCTGTGGCCTGTCTTCAGAATGCAGATAGAGACCGCCTATGCTGCCATCCCACCCGAGCCTTCCCCGGCTCCCACTCCACTCAGGACACAGCCTAAGTCTCTGCATGAGGTGTCCCCGACTCCCTCCCTTTCCATACAGCTGAGCTGTTCCCCTCAAGCCCTTCCCTCACTTGAATCTACTGTGCTCAGCTTTCAAGGCCCTCAATGTCAAGGAGAATGGGCTTGTTTTATCCCAGAGCCCCCACCGATGTTCCTGGCACTCAGCATGACACTTCTCAGGAGGTAAATGAGCAATTAGGGATCAGTAACTCCTCTGATTGGATCTGTGAACAGCCTCCCCTATATCCTGGTGCCCCCAGATCCTAGCCCCCTGGTACTCCTGACCCAGGCTGTACTACAGGATGGGGCTTTTATAGGTGGCTCTAAGACTGACCCTCTCCCCTACCCCAGGTCCATTTCTGTCCACTCTTCCTCTGTCCCTTTCTAGCCCCTCAACACTGAGTGGGTCAGAGACCCAAATTCCTGCCTTGAAATTCCAATAACCAAAGTACCCTCAGCACTCTTTGGCAGGGGTGGAGGTGACTAACAAAGGCCCATTATGCCTCTGTCCCACCCATCTACGTCTTCCTCCTGCTTAGCTTCGGCTACTCACCTCTGAGTACTCTGCCATGTCTATGTAAATATCTGTGTCTGGCACCTGCCCCAGCACAGAGTAGCGAGGCCTGTGAAGAAGTGAGTATGAAAAGAGGGCCATATGGCGAGGGAGCAATGAGGGGGCACTAAGGAGTCTGGGAAAGCTGGGGATGTGGCAGCAATGGGCAAACCAAAAAGGACGACTCACAGCTGTGTGCGGACCACCACGAGCAGCAGGGAGAAGCCCACTGCAACTCCCAGGCCGAAGTCCAGGTCGAGCAGGACGGTGGCCACAAAGGTTACCAGCCAGATGAGCTGAAAACAGAAGGGCAGAGGTCAACAGGGCTTACAGGGACCACTGGGGATGAAGGTCCCTGGATTCCCCAGTCTCTCACCAGATCCACTCGATTTGCCTTCCAGAGGGTGCATATGTCGTTGAACTGCTTCATCATGCCTTTCAGGTTCACAATGATGACAGCTGCCAGGACTGCCTGGGGTGAGGGGGTGTGTTACCAGGCTAAAATATGCCTGGATGCTGACAACCCTGACCACCTGTGTGTGAGTGACCCAAGCACCTGGACAAAATCCCAACCAATGCAAACCATCCATCCCTGAAGCTGACAACTTGGGTCTAACGCGAAAGGTTGTAACTTCTGACCCTTGGCTCTAGATCTCACCCAGAGAGCTCAGAGAAGGCATGACCTCCTATCCCTGTCTCCCACTTGGGACCCGACTGACAGATCTAAGGCCCTAGCCTGTCCAAGGCCCTGAAACCTGGCTGGGTGGGAGTGGGGGCTCACCTTGGGTAGGTCCTGGAAGAGTTCTCCAAGTTTGAGGATGATAATGAGGATGACGAGGGAGGAGATGGCTCCAGCCACCTGCGGCATGAGAGTGAGCAGGGGATGGGAGTAAGCAGGGGTGTGAAAGGAATCAGGGAAGAGAATGGGGGATGGGACCACCCAAAATAGTATGTGTACACACAGCTGCACACCCATGCCCACCCCTGAGCCCACCTGTGTGTTGCCCCCGGTGGTCTCCTGTACCAGACTCCGAGACATAGAGCAACTGATAGGGAAGCACTGGAAGATGCCCCCGATGAAGTTACTGAGGCCAAGGGCCACCAGCTCCTGGCAAAGGGGAGTACAGGTATGAGCGGGCTTCACTTGCAGTGCCTGGCCACCGCCCCGCTCAGCTAGGCTTTTGCATCTCCAACCCTCATCCACACTCAATAACTCCCAAAGACTTGGCTGCTGCGCCAAATACCCTGCTCGTCCTCCCTCAGCCCCCCACAGTTCCTGGGATCTCTGTGTCCCACATCCCATTCCCCCAGACCTGGTTGCTGTCCACCCGGTAGCCATGCCTCAGAGCGAAGATCTTCCCCAGCGAGATGGCGATGGCGAACCCGACCACAGCGATGGCGAAGGCATTGCCCACGAGCTTTGCGAACAGCTGGGGGTTGGGAGCCACTGGAGGTACCAGCCTGTGAGGGGCATTTGTGAGGCCAGGGGAAGCACTGACTTTGCCACCCAACCCTCCCTGATGTGACAGGAGCTGAGGCTCACCCCGCGGGGATGGTGCCCACGACATCCACCCCGAATCTTTGCTTCAGGTCCACACCGTAGGAGATGCCTGTGGCCCCGATGAGCTGCAGGAAGAGGACAGCATCAGGAGGGTGGGTAGAGCTCTCTGGGAGGGTAGGAGACAGGCACCACCATTTTGGAAAAGGAGAAATGTTTTTCTCAGGGGCAGGAAGATACCAACACGGGGATATTCTGCTGCGCTCCTCCCAGCCCCCAGGAACTCTAGTCCAGTGCCCACTCATTAGCCCTCAAATATGGGGGATGCCCACATGGCAGGGATATATCCTCATTTGCCCTTTTCCCCTGCTCCCCCAGAATCCGAACCGTGAGCAGTTCCCCGGGGATTGGCATGGGCAGATACCGCTGCAGCTTGTCATTCAACAGTTTCACCAGCACAAGCACCACCCCGGCCACAACACAGGTGACCACTGTGCCGGGCACGGTGTAGGGCAGCTTCCAGCAGACCTCCAGCACTGTCTGAGGGGAGGCAGGATCACAGCCAGCATTCAAGGTCACAGGCATACCCACTTGTCCCTCCTCCCACTCAGCCCTTCTCCCACCCATCCATCCTCCGCTTCTCACTCACATAGATGAGGGACAGTGGCCCAGAGCGGCTGCTCACATGAACTCCAAACACGTACTTGAGCTGGGAGACTAAGACCTGCACAGACGCGGCTGTGGTATAGCCACGGACCAGGGGCTCTGACAGATAGGTGACCACAAAGCCAAAGTGGACCAGGCCCAGTCCCACCTGTAGGGTAACCAGGGGGCAGTCAGGGTAGCTGGAGTAGAGCCCAGGGCAGGTGGGATCAGAGGGAGATGAGTGACTAGCAGGAGGAAGATGGTCAGACACTCAGTGGAACTGGCAGATGGGGTGGGGGTAGGGTGGGCAATGTTGGTGTGGGGGGCACAAACCTGGAAGAGGCCAACCAGGACACTGAGTGTGGAGGCCAGCTCCACCCGCGCAGCATCTCTGGCTGTCTCATTAACTGTGGAGTTCACAGGCTCCAGGAAGGCCTCATCAGGAGCCAGGGATTCGGTCACACTACCCACCATCACGGACATGATAGCAAAGGTCCCTGCATGGATAGAGCAAGTCTGAAGGGGAGAGGACACTGCTCTGTCCTGGAGCTCTAGCCTTATGGGAGAGATCACGAGATAGCCAGTTCTAGACAAATATCCTCAAGGTATTCTATGCAAATAATGGCAGTGCTGGCAGTCAGGTTTGAACCTGGAGTTCAAAGGCTCTGGAGGGTGGCTAGAAATGTTGGCCCCACATCATGTGCCCTCCCCTGCCTATGCCCATTGCCTTAGGATTACTTCCTTTGCAAAGGCAGAACAAGAAAGAGGGTGTGGTCTGCCTCAGGCTGGTCAGGTCTCTACAAGCTCTGGGCCCAGAGTTGCTTCACCCACCCTTATCCTCCTAGAGCCAGAGCCAGGGCCTCTATGGACGCTGAATCTGTAATAATCAGAGGCCTAGTACTACCTGAGATGTCCCAAGCACCAGTCTCCCACCAATCCATAGCATAGCATACCCTGAGGATATTTGTCTGAAGGAGGTTTGCACAGCACCCCCTCACCCTGTCCTCCATGGGGGATATAGGCATCTTCCTGCAAGGCTGGGCTTCACTCCACTCACCCACAGAGATGTGCCGGGAAGTACCAAACAGGAAATAGATAAAGACAGGGTAGAAGGAGCTGTAGAGGCCGAACACAGGGGGCAGTCCAGCCAGGAGGGCATAGGCCAGACCTGAAGGTAGAAATGTAGTGCTGTAGTTATGAAGGCAAAACCTTGAAAGGATGAGGGAATCCCAGCCCTAAGGCCATGTTCTTAGGAGCAGAGGGCATGGCTTCAGGATTGGATGTCACAGACCACAGGGTTTCCAGGCCAGTGGTAACTCACTTGAAAGGCGAGGGTCCTCACCTTAGGGGTGAGGCTATAGTCTCTTGGTCAGAGGTAGCTCACCCTGTGGTAACTGCATAATTGCCACACTGAGGCCAGACAAAATGTCACCCAGAAGCCAATCACGCACAGGATACCGGGGTAGCCAGGCCAAAACTGGGAGGTGCTGGAGCAGAAGGGCTTTGGCTCGAGCACGAGAACACCTGGAGACATAAAAGTGTCAGGTCCAGGGCCTACTAAAGTCCTCCAGTGCCCCTACCCTCCCACTGCCACCTCAGCCTTACTGGAACCAGGTTCGCCACTGGTGGGTACCAGTCACTGAGCCCCAGTGCCCCAGCTCCTCCAGCTGTTCCTGGTTCAGCAGAGGCCTCTCTACATGGTATTCTCGCCTCCTCAGTTCCATTGCCTGCGTTGTGGACAGCAGTGCTTGTGTGTCCCTCGGTCTGGGGTGGGGAAACCACAAAGACACAGTGAGGATACCCCTGGCCAAGCTCCCCCACACACCTCAACCTGGGACCAATCACCCACCTGACTTTTCTAGGCCTCAAGGCCTAGGTAGATCCAGGCCCCAGTCTGTTGCTGTAGGTCTCATACTCAGGCAAGGGCTGTTACCTGAACTTTGACTGGTAGAAGCCTTTCGTTGGGCCAAAGTCCCAGCAAGACAGCAGGATGAGCACAAGTAACACTTTCAGCCCAGGTGTGGCTGCCCAGCCCTGAGCGTTCTATCAGTCCAGATCTCAGGGTGACTGCCCCTCCCAGACCCCTCCTTCCAGTCTCTTGCTCTCAGTACTTTCTGTCTTGTCCCTGAGTCCTTATTCAGCTACCCATAAACCCTGAGATCACCCTCAAGGAGAGAATCGAGCAAACCAGGGGTTCATTTCTTCAGGCAAGCCCCTCTTCTGATGAGACCCTCCTGTCTATGGGAAGTAAAATGTTGGTGCTAAGAATGTCCCTCAGGGTTCAGGCTGTTGACAAGCTCAGGACTAATCTGGGAACACCAGGGACTGGCTCCCACTTGGAGGAGAAAATGGGTATCATCTGGAGGGAGAGGTTCCTCCCTAGAAATGGAAGCTTTCAAATGAAGTGGGAGAAGTTCTTACCTAGGAATAGATGGGGGCAGGGACCTCATTTAGGGGGGAACTCCCACCTGACAGGAAAGTTTCACCAGCCAAGTTCTGACCTAGAGGGTATCTCTCAACTGCCCAGAGACTCTCACCTGAAGAAAGGGAAAGTTCTCATCTGGAAATAGTCGATCTACTGGCAGAGTTCTTACCTTGGGGGAAACTGTCCTGGAAATAAATCTCATCTGGGAATAGGAGCTCTCAGAGTTGGAGCTCTTACTTAAAAGGGAAGCTGCACCTGCTGGGAAAGTTTTCACCAGCCAGGAAAGTTCTGGTCTGTGAGAAGCTAGAGGGTACTCTCACCTAAGAAAGTTCTGACCTGGGGGTCGTTTCCACCTGGAATAGAAGAACCTCTCACCTGGGAACCTGGTAGTCTGAGAGAGAGTCTGAGAGAGGCAGAGTGATCTTACCTGGGGAAAGCGCTCCCCTGCTGGGGAAGCTTTCACCGCTCGCTCGGACAATTCAGATCTATGAGACTCTCTGACCTAGGGTGGGGGATCGCCCCTGGAAGGTAGAAACTCACCTGAGAAGGGCCTCTAACCTGGATGTCCCGGTTGGAAGAGGGAGTGGACTGGGTGCGAGGAAGATCCTCAGAGACTCTTGGCATCACTGTCTCACCGAGACCTTTGAGGCCCCTTGCCCCTCCTCCTTGAGTCACTCAGGACCTTCTTAAAGGGCGCCTACCCAGCTCCCCCTCGCAGAACACACGCTTGGGGGCGGGGCCTAGACTCTTGGCCCCTCCCTCTGGGGGGAGGCAAAAGGACCAGAAGGGCGGGCGCGCTTATTCCCGGATCAGTTGTACCGCAGGGCAGACTCAGGCCTTCGCTATGGATCCTGGTGCAGCGACCTCTCGGCCACAGCGCGCCCCGTCCGTGCACCTCCTTGACCAGGGCTCCTCCGTGCACGTCCGCCTCCCTGCGACCCCGGCTAACCCTCCGGCAGCGCTCCAGCGGCTTTTCGCTCAGCCCCGGGAGCCGGCGACCTCCCCCATCCCTGCTGCAGTGGAGCAGCCGCCTGCAGAAAATCGGCAAAGCGGTAAAAAGCGAGACGTTACGGGCGGGAAAAGCCTGCCCGGGGCTGGCGGCATCCCTCCAGAGCGAACCCTGGGCCGACGTCACGGGCGGCCCGCGCCTCGCGGACACGCAGGCGGACACGCAGGCGGACGGGCACGCGACACGCACGCGGGCACGCACGCGACACGACGCGGGCACGCACGCGCACATGGGGAACCCGCGCCGAGCTCTGCACTCACCCCGACGCTTCGGAGAGCCCCATGGCTGGCCCGTTGCTCCGGGGCGGCGGCCGCGCCCGAGACCCAGGGGAGGCCGCTGCGGGCCGGTAGGCGGGGCTAGGAGAGGAACCTGGCCTGAGGCGCGCTCTCAAGCGCCAATCCCCGGTCAGGACGGGTAAGGCTCGGGCCAATCAGCACGGCGGGGCGGGGCCCAAGTGTGCTCTTCGGGCGGAGCGAACCCCGGGAGGAAGACGTAACTCTTTCCTCCCCCGGCGCCTCCCGCTAATCCCCCTGGAGCCTGGTGCAACTGCACGGAACGCAGGCGTAGGACCCGCTTGGGGCTGGCCTTAGCCGCGCCCCCAGTCCTGTGAGTAGGAGGGAGCTGATCTCGCGTCGGCTTCTCCGGAAAGGAGAGGAGGAAACCCCCGAGCGGGCGGGGTGCCTGGGGTCTTGTGGTAATCTGGGACTTAGCTGTGGGTGGGGTATCCGAGTCCAGAACCGCTCGTGCGTCTGAGGCACTACCCACAGGCTTTCCCCTGAGAGCAAGCATGTCTTTGTCTTTGAACCGAAGGTCCCCAAGGCCTGCCTTCAACTCTGGACACCCAAACCCGAAGTTAAGCGGATGTGCCCCTTCCCCATACTAGGGAGCACGCCAGATTTCTCCCCCAGGCTGGATAGGTAAGAGGTGTCCTTGCCTGAGAAGTCACTGCTAACCCCTTCTGAGGGGTTAGCTGGGACAGTTCCTGGGACCGATTTGACCCCTGGTCTGGGAAAAGGCCAGGTCAGGGTTCAGGCCCTGAGGACTTAGGAAGTCAGCATGCTGCTGCCTTAACGAGGGAGGGGGGTTTCCCTGGGTACCTGACTCCCACTACCTGTGCTCATATTGCAATTCCCAATCACAAGGAAAAGGGTCAGAATTCAGGGTGAAAGACATGGGAACTTGTCCCAAATATCCTGATGAAATAGGCTAAAAATAGCTGAATATTCTTGGGGTTAGGGGGAAGAGCTCAGATTTCTCCCAAAGGTCAGCCTGGCCTGAATCACTCATAGCCACCAACCCATACCAGCCCCCACCCCAAACAGAAATAAGCAATAACCATTTTCTATAGAAGTTTATTCCCAAAACAGAGCGCGGCTTCACGGAACAATTTACACAGACAGGAAAAGGGGCCACTAGGCTGGAGGAGGGGGGACCCCCAGAGAGAACATCTATAGAACCTAGGACATAGCAAGGACAATCCCCTCTTCCCACACAGATCCTTAACCCTTCAAGGGTTGGGATCATTATGGGTAAGTAGAGCTGGGGTCCTGGCCGGTGGGATTTGGCACCAGTCAGAAAAGTAGAATTTTTAATCTCCTTGGAAACTGCCTCCCAAGAGTATGCATGGGAAAGGAAGTGGCTACATTAACATCCTCCCTTCCCCAACACACACATAAAACCCTGCTCAACCACTGTTCCCAGTAGTAAGAGGATGTCTGCTCTCAAGGCTTTCTGGGTGTGCTGTTCAACAGGGGACTCAGTGCTGACCTTTGGCCTAGGAGAGCTAGGGGCTAAAAACCCACTCAAGATGACCAGGTCCAGAGTTCTCACAGGTGGGTTTCCAAGCCCCTCTCCCACTTTATATTTCACTAGTAAACAGAGGGGGGAAAACATTCTTAACTGTAAACAAAGTATAAAAGTTCTAAGTTGTAAACCAAGTTTTAAAATGCTTTAAATTGACCTGTAAACAAAGTAACACAAAAAGTCCCCAATTCTGGACATCAGACAAAGTAATAAAAGTGAGAGTTTTGTGAATAGGGTCCTAACAGTCACTTTTCCCTTCAGGAGGGAATAAAGTAGGGGTGGGAGTGAGTCACTTCCTACAGCCCAGGTGCCCACGGCCAGGGAGGAGGTTCCTGTAAACATGGGAGGCAGTGGCACCTACATTCTGCGTCTTTAATTCCCTTCTTTCTGCTTCCTTTGCTCAGCTTCCTATCCTACCCTTCAGAATAAATTCTAGCAGGGGGCAGTGTCAAGGAATCAAATGGCACCACAGACAACTTCTGCTCACAGCAGGGCCAGGGATGCCAAGTGATCCCTCCACCTACCCTCGCAGGAATGTCTGAATAGAGGCCTGCACCCCTCCCCATGGGAGAAAGGGAAGCCTTGCTCTGTAAACATGACATCTGCTGCTCCACCAGCACCCCACAGCATCAGTCCTAGGTTATAAGGCAGTAAGTGGCAGGGACTCCACATAATAAACACACACATCCACGGGGAGGGGTGGCATGAGCAAGCCCCTGTGAGGCGGTCAGAGGACCCCTGTTTCCAAGACCAATGCCCAGCCCCAGAAGTTTGGCCCTTGGGGCATCCAAGAAAAAGCAAAGATCAATTCTGCACTTTGGATCCTGACAATATTCAGGTCAATGATGGGGGGTGGAGGGATTTGCCCCTCCTTTCTGATCCACCCCAGCGTGATGTGAGACAAAAAATATGGTTTGCCAGGGACCCAAAGGGGCCAAACTGCATCTTTCTCCCTCTGTTCCCCTCCCCCTCCCAGCCCAGCCTCAGAACCCCGGGAGACAGAAAAGCTGAAAAATAACATAAGCATATCTCTCTGGTTACAAAGGTACAAAAGGTATAAAAGTCCTCCCCTCAGTTGCCTGCCCTGCATCTGCTACACGCATGCTCACATGCTCACAGACAAGCATGGAACCTCAGAGCTGCAGCAACAGGGAGAGCTAGGGGTTGAAGAGGCTGCCCAGGGATCAGCCCCTGACTCCTGGAGTCTCTTCCGTTTATCCAAATCCTCCATTGGCCTCGGCTGCTCCCCGTCCATAAGTCTGTCTCTCAGGAGTGACCCTCACTTCTGGGAACTCTGTAGAGTTGAATATGAGATCAAAGATGGTGGTTACTAAAAGGCCTCTGAATCAGGTGGCTCTGAATTTCCCCTCTGGACCAGTGCTGGCATACTCCCCCTTTAGTTTTGCTTCAGTCCCCTTATCCCCATTCCAGAGTTCTCGGAGCCCTTTACTCATTCCGTACGCCCTCCCCCACCCCCAACTCATCAGAAGGCCTAAGTGCTTTCTCTAAGCACCTAGCAAGCACCTACTAGGTATAGATGCGGTTAAGCACCTGACAGATTTTTCTTTCAAAAATCTGCCTATCAGAATTTGTTATGACATACTTTACAGATGAGGAAACTGAGGCTTAGAGAGATCAAAAGTGACTCCAGAGTCTGAACCCCTGCCCAGTCCCCCAGAACAGCCAGACCCCAAGGGTAGTAGTGTGTAGGAGGACCCAGCGGGTACTTACGACTCCTACCCCCATCATCCTTTCAGAACCCTGGGCACTAGGTCCCCAAATCGCCTGCCCTTCTCTCCCTTCTTTGTCCTCCCCCAACTCTCCTCATGTTCTTTTGCTCTCTTGCCCCAGTCCCGGGGTGCCCTTCCTCCCAAAGCCCTTTCTTACTCTACAGACCTCCAAAGAGCCTGACCTAGCTATTTCGCTTTCTTGAAACTCAACTTTCCTTTGGTTTTCCCATCTAGTAACTCCTGGTTCCTCCCCACACTCTGACTCCTATGTATCCAGCTACTTCCAGGGAGTATCTGGCATGTCCTAAGCACAGATGCCCAACAGGAATACGACATATACCAGGACCCACCCTCGCCCACAGTGTCACAGACAGTAGGAACTTAATACTGGCTGAATAAATAAATGGTTTACCCTCAAACTTAGCTTTTTAGGCTGGCATATAAGGCACTGATACCCTGGAACTACTTCTGTCCCATCCGTATTCCATATTACCCCCTAAATAAAGCCTCCCAAGCAGACTCCTCTTCTCCCTGCCTCTTTGCACATACAGGTGAGCTTCCACATCTAGGCCTTGGCTCTTCACTGCTCCCTCTGTATGAGCTCAAGCCCTGTAGAAAGCACCCATCTTTCCTCTGCTCAAGAAGGGCAGGGAGGGCGGTAGGCCCTATCACATAGCTGGCAAGTCCCTGCTAGCTAGTCCCACCCCCATTCCTATCATTTCTATTTCCAGCCTGTGGCTCCCTGCCTGAGCCTGAGCCCACACTTATGTGCCAACCCCTTGCCCTGGCAGAACACCAGGCAGGGTGCACAGGAGGTTGCCCTACACTGATGAAGGTGTGAGCAGGTGGTGGGGCCCCTGCTTACTCTGAGTCCGGTGACAGCTCCGAGATACTATGGGATGTGGCAGAGCGTGGTGTGGAAGGCCCAAGCGCAGAGGCTGTGGCAGAAGGCGTGGCAGTGGTATGAGGGCCAGAGGGCGTGCTTGAGGATTGCACAGAGCTGGAGAGAGCCGAGGAGTTGAAGGAGGCGAGGATAGAGGAGAGAATGTCCAGTTGCTCTGTGGAGGGGCCGTGGCTAGGGCCACTGGCTGGGTCCTCCCTCACTCTGAGCAGCTGTGGGGATGGCCCGAGGCCTTCTCGTGAAGGGTGCCGGCTAGGCACATGGTCTAGTCGCTCCCCTGAGTTCCATCTCCTAGACAGAGAGTCCAGGGGCCGGGATGGCAATAGGGGGTCCCTTGAAAGTTGCCTCTGGGGAGACGGGGGCAGAGGTGGGGGCTGTGGGTCAAGGTCCCGGGCACTGTGGGGTGGGGGCAGTGTGCTCAACCACTCGCAGGGTGCCCCTAAGTCCAAAGCATCCCGGGACCTGAAGCGGCCAGCCATGGCTCCAGGGTAGTCCCTGGGTGGCTGCCTCCTTGGTAGGGTACTGCCCCGATCCCTGGGCTCTAGGTGGCCTGGCACAGCATCCAGGCGTTCCTGAGAACCCGGTCGACTCAGGGGACGCAGAATTGGGGCAGGGGCCTCCTCCAGTCGCTCACGACTGAGTTGCCGCCGGAGGAGCAGGTCCAGTTGTTCACGGGAAGAGTA